ACAAAATCATTTTTCTGTTGATTTCATTAATAAAATAAATTTCACTAGGCAGTGATGGCACATGCTTTTAGTTCCAGCACTCAGGAGGCAGAGACAGATGGAGCTCTGTCAGTCTGAGGCCAGCCTGGTCTTCAGAGTGAGTTCTAGGACAGCCAAGGTTACACAAAGAAACCCTGTCTTGAAAAATAAAAATACCTTCGCCCAAAGAAGATTCGAATTATCAGCTCATCATTTAACAGAAAAAGAGAATAAAAACCTAACAGGATGGTAAAACCATAAAAGTAAAAGTCCTGCCACATGATCAGCCCCACCTCAGGGACCAGCCCAAGTCAGCTAGGGGCCAGCCTGGGGTAAACAAGAATGCAGGGGAGTCGGCCAGCTCCCCCCTCGACTGGGCCCTGGAGCTTCTGCTGTGTATGACACAGCTTTCAGAGGCTACACCACACAAAGCCCAGAAACCCACTGCCTCACCGCATGCAGCAAAAGTGTCTGCAGCTGACCCTCGCTCTGCATCACGGTCAGATCTGTTCTAGGTCACCGATGGGCAAACTCAATCATCACACTAACCCCAGAACTGAGACCTACAGGAGTAGACGAAGCAACCCATTCAGCCAGTAGCTTAGCAAAGACTACAGGACACGCGTGGCCTAGCAGCGGCAAGACCTGCTTGAGCAATGGTCCCATGAGACCTACCCATAGTCTGAGGCTCTGTCTGACCAAGGCTGAACAGACAAACCCACAAGAACAGACACTACCTACCCATGGCATGGGCAGGCCAGGCTGTAGCACTCTCCTGGGGCCCCTATGGCACCCTGTACTGCTTCCACATTCCAGAGGTAGGGAATAAGCTAAAAAAGAGCTGCCCTGAGGATGACCTGGTCAGTCAGGGGACAAAGGGAAGGAGGAAGAGACAGGACAGTAAGAGTGAGCCCTCTCTGAAAATCTCCAGCTTACTCCCTCATCCCAGTACCAAGAGCCCAAGGCTCCTGCTGCTTGTTGGTCTAGACACCCAGCCTGACTCAGAGCTGTTTAATGCAGGCTACACTTCCAGCCGGGTGAGGGAGCCTTGGGCAGCAAAGAACAAGAGGCCCACAGCAAAGCCAGGCCTAGCTCCGAACGTGGGAGGTGGAATCCCCCCCTTCTCTTTGCAGTACAGTTCAGAGGCTCAGCATACCGAATCGCTGGAACAAGGTGCCTTCTTTCTTACTCCTCTAGGACATGTGACAGAGCAGATGGACAGCACAAGGTAATCGTACCCTCACAGTGTACTGCAGGCTCAAGTGGCTGCACACAGGAGATTACTGGGAAAAGACCAAGGCTGCAGGGCTGGAGACAAGCCTCAGATTAAGGGCGCCTGTTGCTCTTGCAGAGGACCTAGGTTCAGTTCTCAGTGCCCACGTGGTGACTCACAATCACCAGTTCCGGGCATCCAATGACCTCGTCTGACCTCTGTGGGCATCTCTCTCTCACACACACACAAACACACACACACACACACAAACACACACGGTTACTCAGACACACATGCAGGCAAACATTCGAACACATGAAAATAAATAAATACAACAGCATTTAAGAAAAACACCTATCTCCCCTCTGAGGAAGGGGAAATGAGGCAACCTTGACCCCACCATCCTTTCTTCCCAGTGTGGAAAAACTGTCCATCCACCAGGCTTCGGATCAACTATGGCCTAGATTTTTCAAAGATAAATTAATTTAGTTGGGCCAAGTGGTTCTCGCCTGTAGTCACAGGCTACTTGGGAGATGAAACAGTAGGATTACAAATTCAAGGCCAGCCCAAACTAAAGACTAGCCTAGACAACCTTGTGGGACTCTTTCTCAAAACAAACAAACAAAAACAAACAAACAAAAAAACACAATAAAAAGAGAGCCTAGCAAGATGGCTCCAAAGGGTCAAGTGCTTGCTGTCACCCCTCAGTTCATCCCCAGATCCCATGGCAAAGGAAGAAACAAGCTAAAGGCTGGCCTCTACTCACACAGGCAGCCACACCCCAAGAGCGACTGTTTGTTAATTAACAGAAGGTTCACAAGCCCAGTTCAGGAGCAAAAGAGACGGCTCAGCAGTCAAGAGCACAGGCTCCTCCTGCAGAGGATCTAGTTCAGTACCCAGCCCGGACATGATGGCTCACAGCTCCAGCTCTAGGGAACCCAACACCCTCTTCTGACCTCTGCAAGCACCAAGCATGCATGGGGAACACAGACAAACATGCAGTCATATACATTAAAAAAGAAAGAAAAGATAAAAGGTCAAAGGAGAAGACAAACACGAACGCACGCATACACACACACACACACACACACACACACACACACACACACACGAGATGAGGAAGGAATGGTTTGTTGGGGCTGGAAGCTGGCTGGAAGCTGCAGGCTCAGGGGAGTCGAGCGGTTCCAGCTCAGGACTGCTATCAGGTCTGCACTTTACAGCTGTGTAAACTGCAGCCTGGAAGTGGATCCAGAAAAAGTCATCCTGACTTTTACACGGGTCTCCTCTCTCTGCCAGCCATGGGAGGGAGCCTCTCACAGAGCCGACGGTTCCAGAGCTGCAGCACATCGGGAGGCTCCTGTAGCCCTCAGAGGAGCACAGGGTGAACTTTACACTGCGATCCTAACAATTGTGAAATCCCAGCCTTTCCGTCAGACCAATCGCCCTTCCCCCTGGACCAAGTAAGATCACAATCAACCCCCCCCCCCCCACTCCTGGGGTTCAGCACCAGACCAGGTTTGGCAGGCGCTCCAAATCCCCATTCTTTTCCCATAAAGCACTTGCTGAACTGGGTTCTCAAGCACCAAGTGGAGCTGAAGCCTGACTCCTGCCTGGACTGTAGAGTGGCCGTTCTCCCTCCATGAGGCCCTGGGCTACCCCTCTCCACCTGACCTTCTGTCGGAGTCTGCCACCTATGCCTGTCCAAGCATCTCTCCAGCCCTGGTCACCCCTGCAAAGCCAAGCCCATTTTTCTGTGACCCCTGAGACTCTCACAGAGCTGCTGCCCTTCTCCTTGGCACTCCCTTGTCAGAGCAACCTCTCCCCTCTTGGCACAGACACAGAGTTGCTGTCAGGGTATCCAGGCTTATGGGGATGTCCCATAACCCCGTAAATTTTAAAGGTTTACATAAAGATTTCATCAGGTGTCAAGCAGGGGAAATATCTACCTTAAAGGCACCCCGTAGAACAGGGAGACTGTTGGGAAAGCCCCTCCAGAGCTCTAGTCTAGGGACAGTGAGCGCTTTTCCAAGAGCCTCAGCCTCTGACCCCCTAAGGCATGGCTTCCCATCCCAACTGGCCGCCTCATCTGCCACACAGGTGGCCGTGATTCCGATCTAGGCATTACTGGGCTTCCCTGGAGACAGTTCTGGAACTCATTCTCAACAAGCTGTTAGCCCTCTGAGCAGCCTCCCCAGCAGCCACTCCAGGTTTTATTTTTGAGACAGCTGTGTAGCCCAGGCTGGTTATAAACTCTTACTACAAATTCTTAGCCTTCCATGGGCTAGAGTCCAGGCTGTTCTCCAACATATCTACACACACACACACACACACACACACACACGCCTTTTTATCTTTTCAAGACAGGGTCCCAACTGTGTAGCCCTAGCCGGCTTGGAACTCACTGCCCTGAACTCAGACACTCACCTATACCATGAATAATCATGCTTGCTCATTCCTAAGCCCACACACCCTTCAGGGGCGTCGCTAAAAGCACTCAAGGGTAGTGCTCGGTTATCTCTGCACACAGAGGAACTGTGTGCTCAGATGCTTAAGTGCAAGGGTAAAGTGCAAAACTGAAAGAGCACAATCAGGGAGGACAGGGACAGCAACACACTAGTATAGCCAGGAGTCGTCTGAGTATGAAGATGAACCTTCTCTTTCAAGGCTCTTGGAAGGCCAGAGTTGGGCTGGGGAGTGGCAGAGCACAGCAGCCAGTCTACAGGCTTCTGGCGCACAGGCAGCTCTCCGGCCCCAGGGCCCACTGTTTTAAGAACACTGGACCTCACTCTAAGAAGCTGCTGGCCCCACCCACCTGTGGATGAGATCCAAAGGGGAAAGAAGAGCAGCTGATTAGAATTCCAAGCAGGAACTCGAACTTAAAAAATCTGGGAGGAGGCCAGGTGTGGTGGAGCACATCTTTAACACTCAAGGGGCTGACGGAGGAGGAGTTCGAGGACAACATAGCAACAGGGTGTGGTAGTGCGTACCTAGCACTCAGGCAGATGCAGACAGACCTTAGGAGTTCTGGGCCAGCCTGGTCTCTGTAGTGAGTTCTAGAACGGCCAGAGCTATATAGTGAGGACCCGCCTTAAGGAAGGGGAAGGAGGAAGGGGGTTGAGGGAGTAGAGGGGGAGAAAAAAGGGGGGCGGGAGAGAAACATATAGATGAATTTACCAGGGCCATTTCGATAGCTCAGCTCACCAAGTCAAGGCACATGCTGCCACACCTGAGACCTGAATTCCGTCCCTGGGACCCAGATGGTTTAAGAAAACTATCTTCTACAAATTATCCTCTGATCTACACACTAGACATTGAGGACACGAATAAATGAAAAAAGTTTAAAAAAAAAAGTTTATCAGTCACCAGTATTTACGTTGGTGTCTTTTAAACACACTTAATTTGCTCTGAAATAAAATCGCATGGAATGCGTGAAATGCTTCATTTTCTCCCAAGGGGCCAAGCTCTGCAGAGTTTAGAACTTCGAAGACTGCAAACTCCTTGGCACCGTTCCTCCGTGGGCAAGTGGAGGCGGACTCCCTCACCCTCGTCCCACGGACACACTCCAGCCCCAAACTCACGCTCCCCCGCTCGCCCTCGGGCCTCCCCCGGGCTCTGCACCGTGCAGCCAATGACCGCCAAGGAATGGAAAACGCCCCACAGCGCGGAAGGGACAGCGGGAACGCCCGGAGGGGAGCCGCGGCCGAGCGCCCCGAGGACGGAGGTGGGAGACGCCCCGGCTCCGGCTGGGGACGCGGGGGCTAGGACGCACCTCCTTGTCCGGAACCCACTGCGGCTCCTCCAAGCCGAAAGGACTTCCGAAGGCGCGGTGCTCCGGCACCATGCGCAGGCCACTTGGCGAGCGCACAAGCTTCTTGGCGTCGCGACGCGCGGCCACCCCCGAAGACATGTCTCCGCCTGAACCCCTCACGCCACCGCCCGCGCTGAGCCTACACAGGGTGCCGCCCCGCCCCGCCCACCAGCGCGATGACAGCTCCGAAGCCCAATCCTCAGCCACAGCTCGGAATATGAGCCAATCGGAGAGTAATATCCGCCCCAGAGCCGCCCTTCTCCAATCCGCGCAAGGTCCCCGCCCCTACGGCCAGTCACCAATCGGCGGCGAAGACCGGAGGTGGTACCCTCGCTCCTCTCGGGAGATTGTGACTTCGGATTGGCCAATTAACCGGCCACGTAGCCGCCTTTTCGCTCCTTCTGGGCGGAGCAGACTCGGACTCGAATCTTTCATTGGAAGAGAAGACTGAGATGGGCGGAGCTTCCGGAGCGGGCGGAGTGCGCGGGAGAGTTGCGGGGCCGCTGATCCGGCAGGTGAGCTAGTCGATCGCGAGTGGCAGGACATGGGGTGGCGGGAGAGGACAGAGGACACTGTGGGTTTCGAGCGCTCCAGGCCATGGCCGGGACTCAAGAACGAGCTTCCCCGGCGGGGCACCCCTTTAGGCCCCGTAGCGGGGTTTGGAGGAATCGAACCAAGAGTCCTGACGCTCCCCACTGAGTGCGGGACCTGCTTTCAGCGCCAGATTCCCAGGCCAACCACGGCGTGACCAGTCGCTGCAGACTTGACCTGTGACTTTTCTTTTTTTTTTTCTTGTGGCGTCTGTAAGGACAAGTCACACTGTGTGTGTAGCCTAGGCTGGCCTTGGATTCAGCAGTCCTGCCTCACTCAACCTTCCTCGTTCTAATGCAGGTGTGAGCCACCGCGCGCACCTCATCCTCTAGCTCCTTTGGGTAATTGGCCAAATCAGCTCCCTGGGAGCTTTGCTCACTCTGTCACAGCCTGTCTCCCCGATTGGAGGGATGGGCTCGTGTAACCCTCCTTCTCCGGAAGACAGGCGGCCAAGTGGAGCACGGAGCTCCGTGCCTTTGCCTGAGACGCCGGCTCTCAGTGTTGAAGTAGAAGTTGTTCAGTGGCGCTTTGTAAAGCAAGGTTGGCTGCCTCATGACCTTGGCAGTTGCCGGTACACGGATAGAACCGGCCCCATCTATGTCCTCTGTCCAGCCGCCACCAAGCCCTGTGGTTGCTCTGGTTCACCACTGGACAGGGTAGCAGATGGCTTGGGGAACCTTTGAGTCCGGTGCCAGAACTTTGTGTCCTCAGCAGGAAGCATGTTCCCGAGCCAGCTTCCCTCCTGCCCTGTGTGATGTGTGCGTCTGTGTTGTATGTACATACGTGTATGTCTGTTTGCATCCGTACTGATGTGTGTGTGTGTATGTGTGTGTGTGTGTGTGTGTGTGTGTGTGTGTGTAAGCCAGATGTCTGACATGTATCCCTCCATCAGCCGCCGTATTCACAGATTCAGCTAGTCAGCCTGTTCTGAGGAACCCGTCTCTGCCTTGTGAGTGCTGAGATTACTGGCAGGCCACCATACCTGCCTAGCACCAGATCTAACGTCCCCAGACTCCTCACACTTGGCACTGCCAGCCTGAGCCATCCCGCCCCCATCCTTAGTGCTTCTTGGCACTGTCATTTGAAGCCACGTGTGAGAAGACTACGGTGTATTGTGGGACACGTCTTTTCCTCACACTGGACTGGCCCTAACATAGGCAGCCCAGGTGGGCAGAGCAGAGGCCTGGTGCTGTCCTCTCCAGGTCCCTTTCTGGGAGGGTTTCTCTGTGCTTTCTGGTGAGGCGGAGCTGCCGTCCTGCCTCTTCTCTTGTTCTCTGATGAGGTTCAGTTCCCCTCCACCATCCTTCAAAATCCCAAACTCACAAAAAGTTAGGGAATGCTGAGCGAGACCCATCTATGCCCCAAGAAGTTAGACAGAAGCTGCAAGGGGCAGCCAGCTTTCTTCCCCCACTCGCAGCTGAGCCTCGGGCACTGTCACCTTCAGGATGTTAGGGACAGCTGAATTAGATCTGTGCCAACATCTGGAATGAGCCTAGGCTTCCAGACTGCCTAGTCCTTCTTAGAGTGGATGGTGCCAACAGAAGCATCTTCCTCGGCTTTCCCAGGAAAAGTAGTGTTCCCAGGACAGAGACACCTGTCCTCAGCGCTCAGGGGGACGCCTAACCACACTGTCACTTCAGTTTGCCCTGTGTGTCACTTTCCCATGTACTCCCTCCCACAGGTGGTTTGAGTTGACAGCAAGCTCATGGAAGTGTGTTGTCATCGCTCGTGGTAAACCCACGAAATGGACGTGGATCAGCTGGACCTAAATCCCAGAATTACTGCTGCCATTAAAAAGGGTAGGTTGTGTGAAGTGAGGAGTGGCACACACGCACTGTGGGCAAAGCTAGCTGTGGTCCGTGCACCACCTCCGCCAAGTGGCTTCTCTCCCTTTCAGAGCGGGGTTGGTCAGTCTCGGAAGGGGCTCCTTTCGCACGTGCGTTCCTGGGAGCTGTGGCTGTGGAGGGTGAGCTGCTTAGCCCTCGTGTTCATGGCAGACCTTTCTGCCGTTGTGTGAGCTGCTTTGATATAGCTGCAACGTATTTTTTTTCCTTTTTCTTTTTTTCTTTCTTTTTAATTGCAACAGGGTCTCACTGTGTAGCCTTGGCTGGCCTGGAACTCACTGTGTAGACCAGCCTGGCCTTGAACTCACGGAGCTCCTTCTGCTTCCATACTTTTCTTTTGCCAACTGGTTTGAAAGTAAAAAGTAAATCCAAGCCCAGAATTGGTTTCTTCCC